CGGGCTGGCCCAAAAGTGTTTCTTTTTGAGGGCTATTTTTAGTTTACCACCCTGTTCCCAGATTGTAGTCCTTTGGGGGGTCACAAACGAAAGCCGGGGATGTTTCCCAGAGCTCCTTCCTGTCACTGTTGAGTCCTGAAGTCTATTTCTGTGTCTCATCTCTGAGACTGCCAAAACCACTGCTCAGCTGTTAGCGTCTCTGTCTCTACTTTCAAATCATCAAAGGGGAAAGTAGCAACCAATGTAAGGCTTATTTTCCTGAACTTGCATTTTTTCCATGGTCTTGACTCTTTAAGACCCTGCTGCCTCAGTAGCTCTTTCATATCTCAAAATAGATTTTTTTTAAAAAATTGTCTATCTTTTCTTGTTCTTAGCAGGAGGTTGGTCTGAAACAAGTTAATCCACCTTTGCCAGAGCAGAAATTCTGCTGAAGATATTTAAATCAAATCTGAGACATTACATCGTTTAGTCCATGTGGACATCAGTTTGTATTGCTGGAAAAGTGTGGACATTTTTTCATACCCACATGCCATTTCATATTCAAATTGCCTCGATTGGCTCAGATTATCTGTTTACAATTGTTTTGCTTAAGTTAGGCTGCAGAAGGTCTGTCTACACATTACATTTGTTATTAGATCTCTTCAGTCTCTTTCAGTGTAGGGTCTTCTCTTACCCCCACCGTCTTTTTCTTTTCATGCCACTGACCTGTTGAAGACCCTGGGTCCAGGTCGTGTAGAATTTCCCTTTTCCCAGATTCAGCTGACTGCTTTGACTTGTTCCTCTGTCATTTGGTTTTCCTATGAAATGTGATTTCATTTTTTGGGCTTCCTTAGATTCAGGTTTAGTTTGTGGGGTTTTGTTTTGTTTCCTTTGGCAAGGATGCTTCATAGGTAGCACAAAATAACTCCTATTGTGTCACATGAGCTGGCACTTAACATCTGGTTGTCCTACTTTCGTGATGCGAAGCTTGATCACTGGGTTCAGATTGAAACAACCTAATTTGTCCACTGTAAAGTTCCCCATCCTCCTTTCATCAAATGCTTTCATCAAGTGATACTTTTCCCTGGATTAATTATTTCTTCAGGAGTCACAAAATGATGATTTTTTCCTAATTCTATCACCAGTCCACACTGATCAGCTAAAATTCATACACCTAGAGCTATTTGGTTACTCTGAAGTGCAATTTAAACAGGCAGGTTAAGCTCTCCTTTTAGGTTTCGTAATACATTTTGCGTCAGTTTTTTAAAAAATAGTGGTTTTAGTCTGTTTGTGCTGCTGTAACAAAATACCATAGACTGGGTAATTTATAAAGAGCAGGAATTTATGTTCTCACAGTTCTGCAGGCTGGGAAGTCCAGGATGAAGGCAGCAGCAGGTTGGGTGGTCTGGTGAGGGCTGCTCTCTGCTTCCAAGACGGAGCTGGGTAGCTGTGTCCTCTGGGTGGGGGTGTCGTGTCCTCACATGGCAGGAGGCAGAAGGACAAGCCGGCCGGACACTGTATGAAGCTTGCTTCATAAATGCCTTCACCCTAGTCACGAGGGGAGAAGCCCTCATGACCTAATCCCCTCTTAAAACCATCACATGGGCCACTAAGTTTCAACACCTGGATTTTGGAGGGAACACGTTCAAAGCCATAGCAATGGAACAATAAATGCTTTTTTCCTGCCTTGTAAATGCCAGAACTGCTCCCTGTAATGAAGTAGCGTGATGGGCAATTGCGTCATGTAGAAAAACCTCAGCAAGACCGACAGAGGTCCTGCCGGCAGGGCCTGCTCCTCCACGGCCTTTTAACTTGGGACATTCCAGGTCTCTGACTCTGAGCCTCCTCATAAAATATGACAGCAAGATCTTGGTGCTCGTGGGTCTAGTTAAGCGAGCGTGTGAGCGTCCTTCTTTGCTCTGCCTGTTTCAACTCATTCCTGCGGGTGCATTTACTCAGCACGGAAATGCCAAAGGCAGTTTTTCCATTCCAGGCCCAGCATTCCAGAGCATGCGATTGCTAGCAGCGTCCCTCTGAAAGGAAATGCTATAACACCGGCACAAGGAGAACACCTTGGCGGATGATGTAGTTGTTGTGTAGTTTGCTTGTACTTCTCATGAAGGCGGTTCTAGCTCTGCATCTTGGAGTCAGCTGTGACTGCTACACCCCAGCGGGTCCCCCGGCCCGGTTGAATCAGCCGTGTAACCTTTGCATGAAACCCTTCTTTTCTGTTCTCCTGGCCACCATCCTGCCTCAAGTCTCCTGGCCTCCAGGGTCTCTTTTCCAATTGCTTTCGCTGCTTGTTGTGATGACATCTCCTGGCCCTCCTGGGTGGTGCCTCACTGCCTTGGGGGCATCCACACTTCAGCCTTGCCTTTTATGCCTCTGCACCCCTTGGCCTCAGGTGCATCTCCTCCCCCACTGTCCTCCCCTGCTGGCCAGCCCAGTGTGCACATGCATTCAGCCTCCCGGCCATCGGCAGAGCAACCGTCCCTTCTCATGCCCCACCTGCTCCCCAAGTCTAAACCAGCTCCAGCCCTGCTGCCCCCCAAACGCTGTGGTCCCAGCAGCTCCCAGAGCACCCCCTCCTGTGCCATGATCTGGTGGGTCCCCCACTCGTCTCTATAGCATGATTTAATTGGCCTCATTTCTGCAACTCAACTGTACGCTAACCGAGGGCAGGGACTTGCCTTGGACTTCTCCGGGTCCTTCCAATACTGGCATGTCATCGTCGCACCTTCCTTCCCCGTTTCCCTCAAGACTCCTGTTTTAGTCCTCACGGTCCTCAGCACACCTAGTTCCTTCTCTGGCCCGGGCTCTCAGCCTGGCCTTGACTTTTGGCAGTCCTGTGATTGATGACTACTTGTGGTCACACATGGTAAAGTTGATGAAAGCCCGTGCCCTTGGTGGAGAACTTCTCCCAGCAGCAGTGAGCCTCACCAGTTTTCCTTGGGTGCTGTTCCAGAAAGAAATCACGATTCCTATTCCATGTGTCAGCTGGGAGGCCTCCAAAAACAAAGCAGGCCCGCAATCCGCACCCCTGCCAGAGCTGTGAGCCTGCCTAAGTACTTATATGGGGGTCCCCCTCACAGACACGTCCTCCTGATCCTCTCTGTACTAAATTCCAGTTCTTTTTTTAATATCTTTAAGTGACCGGGGCAGGTACCTGTCACAGCATAATTATGCACCTCTCTCTCTGCCATCGTAGAACCAAAGATTTTCTTTCGTTCTGCTAACTGACATGACAGACATCCACTTAGTGGGGTGATTATTAGTATAAAATTACTTTTTGGCCTTTAAATTTAATTATGCCACATTCATAGCAATAAAACAAAATCCCGAATCCAGGTGTGCTTTTCAAGGAAAGTGTCCAGGACAATTACCTCCTGATAATGGTGTCCTGCACTTAAGCCTTTTGTCTGGGGATCTGAAACTCGTCTCAAACAAGTAGGTAATGCTGCTCAGATGTTAAGGGTGGGAGAGGAAGGGACTGGCCCCTTGGCATGCTCAAGAGATGAAGAAAAATCCAGGAGCCAGGTGTCTCCTTTGTTCCCCCCTCCCCCTCCCCTCTGAGGTCTTTAGCAGAGGCCTGGCCAACCTTCTGGTGGCTTAAATACCTTCCTCCCAGGTACTGCTTTCCACTTTTTAAAGAACGTGAATGACAAAAAGTTTCTATATCACATTTCATGGGGGCAAGAGTTGAGGTTCAGGGAGAGGGAATGGATTGCAGATATGCATGCACTTGTCGCAGACCGTGCCTGTCTCTCCTAGTGAGTCTCCCTCATCTGTCACGTGGTAGAGCTGAAATGTGGTTCCGAGGGCTCATAAATGCAAAGCAGGTAGGACAGTGCTGGGCAGGCTCTGTGTAAGTGATGGCTTCTGGAATCTTCCCGATGTCCAGGCACCCAGCGGCACTGAGAAGCAGCATTTGCAGGGGGCCCATGTTCATGCCTCCTGGCACGCGGGGCATGCCTCCCTTCCCCCCAGCCAGCTTCCTCTCCAGGAAGCCATCCCCAGTCCATCCAGCCGCCAGTCACCTCTCTCTCTCCATAACTCGTGTCATTTTCTCAGTCCAGTTCAACAAACTTGAACTGAACACTAGCATACACTGAGGTACACCTGATTTGGGCACTAAGTCATGCACCATCCTGGAAGATTGTTTTGACTCTTGTTTGAATATTTGTTTTGTGCCTAATGGGATCCATGAGCCTGGAGGGAAAAGCTCATAACTATACAGTGTGGTATTTCCTCTAGCCCCAGATACAATCCTGCGTATACAGCAGGAGCTCAGGATTCTCTGAGAATAGAAGGCGAGGCCAGACTGTGCACATTTTGCTGAGTCCAATCTACTCAGCTCTTATTAACTGAACTGAAGTAACCTAGCTCTTCATGGGGTCTGAAACACAGCCCTGAGTCCTCATTCTCTGGTCCACTGTGACACCCTATTCTATTCTGTTGTATGCGAAAGAGACCAAGTGTGTGCTGAGTTCCTCCTACGTGCAAGACATCACGGAGAACACGGACGGGCTGCCTGCATGCAAAGCATAACGATCCAGTGAGATGATAAAATAAATAGGCAAGTGCCTATGAGAAAGGGGGGGCCACGATGCACTCTACAACTGAGATTCAGTCAAAGGGGTTTGCAGTTAAAGGCGAGGAAGCGGCTGTGGTAGTGTCTGGTTGGGGGATCGTGAAAACTTTCATACCTGAAATACATATTTCAACAAACATGTGTCGAGAGGCAGGCAGTGTTCTGTTCCCCGGCTGTGCTAGTGCCAGAGCTGCACAGAAGAGCATGGAGGACAGGTCAATACCCGGTCTCTCCTCCGCCTCCCAAAGACATATGCAGAGGTCCAAACTTTTACTTCCCTAGTGCTTATTAGTGAGGCCTTCCAGTCCTGTCCTTTATTTCCTAGTGCAGAAGGCATCCTGGGGACCAGAGACTGACCACGTGCTAATTCCCCTCAGGAGTGCATTCTCCCGGACTGCAAAGCTGATTTCCTTTCAGTAGCTTATTAACATTCACAGCCAGCATTTGCTCCCACGTTCACAGTCTCCTGATGACCTGCTCTCTCCAGAGGTGAGAGCTACTGACTCTGCCTTTGTGTTTTCTTCCAGGATTTTCTTCCCAGGGAACCATCCCGTGAGAGGTGTGCAGGTCATGAAGGTGGGCAAACTGCAGCTGCACCAAGGCATGTTTCCCCAGGCCATGAAGAATCTCAGACTGGTGAGTTTGCCAAGATCCGATGGCTTCCGCCTGAGCCATCGCCTGCAGGGCACAGGGCACGTTCCTGGAGTGGCGGCATGGCCTGGAACCTCTGTCTGCAGTCCACCTTTGCAGCCTCACCTCCTCCTCACTTTCCATCCCCAGCACCCTCTGTGCTGCCCACCTTGCCCACCGTCAGCCTGAACTGCTCACTCCCAGGTCTCTACTAAGCCGTGTCCACTGCCTTAAACGCTCTCCCCACCCACCCTCTGGGCCTGGCAGAACTCCACGGGTGCTTCAGGGCCCAGCTCCAACATTATTTTCTCCTTGGACTCTTGCAGCTCTGCTCAGCCTGCCAGTAGAGCCCTTCCCACAGTGTGGTGGGCATACCTGACGACCCCCCACCTCCCTCCCAGGAGGCTGTGAGGTCTTCGTGGTTTATCTTTGTAACCAGCTCATTGCCACGCAAGTGACCTGGAACTGAGGAAGTACTCACTGCTGGGTGAAAGGCAGGTGGGGAAGTCAGTCAGTACAGTCCTAGCAGTAAGTGTTGAGAAACTAAACGGGAAAACTCAGTCAGTGTTGGGATGACTTGTTAAAAAGTGATGCTTATTTTTGCCCTTTGGGGGAGTCCCTCTGCCCAGACGGGCCCAGGGTTCTCTGCTGTCCCAGCCTTCCCAGCCTGGAAGAACTCCCTCACCCAGTCCACGGCCCTCCAGAAGGAGAGCTCACGTGCTCATCTGGTCCAGGCGTTGGTGGGTTGTACGGAGACCTGGTGTGTGGATTTCACAAGGAGCATTTGGTGTTTAATGGGGTCCTCTAGACCACAGTGCCCTTGTCTGCAGAAGGGTTACAGTGGAAGGGTTGGGGCCCTGCATCAGGGTTGCTCAGGGAGTGGCCTGGGGCCAGCTGATCCCATCACAGGGGCAGCTACCCACGTTTAGATGAGAGAAATGACACATGCCTAAAGGATTCTTAAAAATAAGATTCCTGGGCCAGCCCGGTGGTGCACTCGGTAGCATGCGGCGCTTGGGAGCATGGTGGCGCTCCCGCCGAGGGTTTGGATCCCATATAGAGACCGGTCCGCTCACTGGTTGAGCGTGGTGCGGGCGCGACACCGAGGGTTGCGATCCCATTGCCGGTCGCGGTGCAGGCGTGACACCGAGGGTTGCGATCCCGTTACCGGTCATGAAAAAAAGACAAAAAGGAAAAAAAAACAAATAAGATTCCTAATGCTAATTTTTGTGGAATGGTAACCATGTTGCCTTTTCCTGATCTCTAATTAAAATCAGCCCATGGTGAACAGGAAGAGCAAGAGGCCTTCCTGGAGGTACGCAGCTCAGCTAGACAGAAGATACTTACTGAAAGCCTACTATGTGAAATTTCTGGCAGAAAAAATAATGTGGAAGAAATTTCCCAAGTACCCAAAATGATGTACCCAACCCAGGGTCACCCGCAAGTAGGTGCTTTGTAGGTGATCAAATTAATCCTTTGTGTTCCTATGGGATGGGAAACTATTAATAGTGCTCCTATTTATCTTACTTGGTCCTCATGACAGATGACAGCCATGTGAGGTCAGTGGGACAGGCATTTTCATTCCTATTTGAAAAATGGAGCTAAGGCTTAGGAGACACAAGAGCTTGTCTAAAGTCACACGGAGACAGAGCCACAACTAATTTGTTCAGTTTAATTCAACCCATGTTGATTAAATGCTTCTATTACTTTGAATAAGATCCAGAATTGTCCTTACAATTTAATGGAGGAGACAGACATGTGAACAAGTCATTGAATCCAGGCCCAAATCCAAGGCTCTGTTCTTTTCCTCTAGAATGGCCCAGTTAAAGAGACAAGGCTCTCGGGC